ATAGAATATTGTAAAAAAAATATATACATATATATATATATATATACAGTAAAGAGCAATTAGTAAGATTGAACAATATAATTATGCGCAAATATGTGCATATTAAAGAGTTAGATATTTATATAGCTTACACACACATACATGCATACACACACACACGCGCGTACAAGTTAACTCAGATATAGCAGTATAGGTCGAAGTAGCATTGGTAACATTAATTATATCAATTTCGACCAACACATTCATGACCAGCATCACCATCCTCATCATCATCTTCTTCATCATCGTCGTCGTTCTACTCGCAATGATAACGAAGGATAGCAAAGATAATTACGACACTGGCGAGAACAAGCACAATGAACACTGATCAATTTTTATAAAGAACAATCACAGTTAGGAAAATCCAAACTACCAGCTAATGAATTTATGTATTATATATATATATACTTATATATATATATACGTTATATTATATTATATATATACACCTGTATTTATATAATGTATATATATGACACAAGAATGATGTAATTTGAAAAGGTTTCAAAAATTGAAAAACTGAATTGCTTCAAGAAATAGTCACCAAAATAATACATTAATGAACATGATTCTAATTTCATTTAAATATAAACACACACACACACACACACACACACACACACACACACACACACACACACATATATATATATATATATACATAGTCATAGTTGATTGGCTGGTTTCAAGTGTGCCATATGCGTAGAGTTATTTGATTGGTTGGTTGTATGTTTGTTTGTTTGTTTGTTTAGATATATTTGATTGGCTGGCCGTAAATATATGCGTGTGTTTCTGTGTGTATGTTTATCCCTATGTGTTAGTCACACGGAAATAAAAATAATTAATGTTGAATAAATTAGAAAATCTTGAAAATTTGTATTACTAAAGAGTTCTGAATGGCTGATTTATAATTTGGAATAGCTTTTCAATCGGCCAACAAATCAACCAGTTAATGCGCCAACCATTCAATCAATCACTCAATTAATCACCCAAGCAACCAAACAGACAGACAAATTGTAACATCGTCATTTTCACCATAAAATTCGTTACGTTACGTTTCTCGCCTCACAATTTTTTTACTACCACCAACGCCGCCACTCCGACTACACCGACCTCGTCCTCCACCAACAACATCATTATCAGCAGCAGCATCTCTGACGTCATCATCGTCGGCATCCTTCTTCCGGTTGAACTTTACAGCTGGTGGAGTGAAGTGTTTTGGTTGTCTCAGCTGCTGTTTATAAGTAGCATCACTGGAATGTAAAGCTGTTGAGCCATCGTTATCGTCATTTCTCTTTTCGTCTCGAAATTCGTCGGATCGGAAAGTAGGCGGCCGAACTCTTCTGACGTCATCGCCATCTTCACCTTCGTCATCGTCGCGTGTGACCTTGAAACAGCTGATGTCAAGGCCGTTGCAAATGTCGTTGAGAATGTTGTAGCAGTAGTGTAGGAGGTTGAGTGACGTGGTAACCTAATTGGTTGGTTGATTGGTTGGTTGGTTTAGCAGTTGATTGATTGACAGCTAGATGGATTGGTTGACAGATTTACTGGTTGGTTGGTGGATTGGTTGGTTGGTCGATGAATTGACTGGTGATAAAAAGTCATGAATCCCCCACAAAAACTCACGAGACAAATCCATAGAGAGAAATGATCAGTGATCAGGTTGAATCGTTGGCCGATGACGTAGTGGCCGACGAGGATCGCCAGGCAGTAGTCGCACAGGGTCATCTCGCTGCGAGACACGTGAGAAATCTTAAAAATTAGGTCGGGTGATGTAGTCAATTAATCTGGGTCAGTTAGTTAATCAATTAATTAATTGGATTATCTGAATCAACCAATCAAATAATTAGGTCAACCACAAGAACAGCAACGTTAACTTACCACAATCTTGACACTCAACTTGACAGCAACGACGGCAGAGGTAGCCACAAACAGAACGGGGTATTTGTCTAGCGCGCAATCTTCTGAACTGTGTATGATAAGGAGGCCCAACGTAATGAGAGATATCATTGGGGCAAGGGGCGAAATGACGCTCGTGTCCTGTTGTGTGATTGGTTGGTTAACTGGTTTGCAGACCGGTCGATTTGATCATTTCATTCCTTCATTATTACAATTAAGCCATCAACGTCGTAATCGTTATCATCACCATCATCACAAAAATGATCCAACTAACGGCTACAGTTGACCCATTCTTTCCTACTCCACCTTCCACCAATACGACGTTCAGATGACCGTAACTGAAGAAAATCCCAACCAATAAGCTGATAGCTACCGGTAGCAACTTTAAAGGAAAGCCTTCTATTGGCTGCAACAAAATAAGTTGTCATAAATACGCGAATTTGATTGGTTGAAGCAAAAACATGTCATAATTAACATTGAAATTTGATTGATTCTTAACAAGTAAGCCAGCATAAACACAAAATTTGATTGGTTCACAAACAATTATATCGTAAAATAATTATAACTGTGACCAATCCAGACCTCGAAATCCCAGATGTGGCTGCCGAAAATCCCGGTGATGAAGAAGAGGAGGATGGCGGAGAATCGAGCTTCCATTATATCGAATCTGATAGGTTGGCCAATTGTAAATGGATGGTTTGTGATTGGCTGTCAACTAAACAAAAACAACACATCGACAACAACAACAACATGATTAAGAACAACACAAGCAACTAACATCTGATAATTAATGACGCCAGAGCAGTACGTCTGCCAGTGAGTAGCGTAGTAAGCAAAGAGTACGATCATGACGAGAACATACATGACCAAAGCATGGGTGCCCAACTTTAAGGTCGTACCCACTGCTACTATGACGAAAGCTGTCGAAGATTATTAATGTTATTATTATTAACTAACCAGTCAACTATCAAACCAACCAACCAACCGACCAACCAACCGACCAACCAACCAACCGACCAACCAACCGACCGACCAACCAACCAACCGACCAACCAACCGACCAACCAACCAACCAACCAACCAACCAACCAACTAACCAGCCAACTAACCATTACTAATTGCATCTGAACAATGGTTGAAAACTTCTTTCAGAAGAGTCTGGCCGACGTTATTATTACCGCTGACAACATAACAATGTGTTTGTTTTTCGTCGATCGAGTCAAGAGCTTGGTACACAAAGAGACCGAGGGCACATAAATGGAAGGTCCACTTTGGAACCTTTGTACGTACGTGTATGTATGTATGTATGAATGTTTGTATGTATGTATGTATGTATGAATGTTTGTGTGTATTAATCATCCCAAAGTTTTACTTGTTTCCTATTCATTTATTTATCCACCTAGTTATCTATCTTGACATCAATCCATCTATCCATTTGTTAAGATTAAATGTCTTTAAAATTGAATGAAAGAAAACAGATTCACCAGTTTAAATGTGATAAAAACAACAGCCACAAAACAACAGCAACAACACAACAGCAACAACAACAATAACATCAACAAAAACATCTTCAGAACAATGAACTAGCTCTTATTTTTAAAATGAATAGTAAAAAAGCGTGAAAAAGCATTCCAGAACATTCTACATAGACAAACAAAACATATTTTTATTACTACTATTATTATTTCTATTATTACTATGAAACAACTGTTTGCATGATGGGGAGTGCACTTTCTTTCATGGAAAAGTTTAGAAAAAATATGCTTTCTGCCATACATTACATTAAAAACTAAACAAAAATATAAAAATATAACATAATACAACCTAAAATCTGACAAAACACAACATAACATAACAAAATATAAACATATATGAAAGAATTTTTTAGAAATTTATTTATTCATTCCTGATTTCCAGACAAGAATATAGATTTTATGTTGAGTATATATTTATTTTGAATTCTTAGACCATAAAAACCAGTTTAGTCTTTCTTTCTAAAGTGCAACAGTCAGCTTTTTAATTCATTTATATGTGAAAATTTTTGTTGGCTTTTATTAAAACAACAAAACATTAAATTAATAATTTTTATTTAATTTATTCATAATAAAAATTATTATTATTACAAAATCCTAAAACCCTGCATTGCACTAATCAACTAACATCACTTCTGGCGTCTTGAGAATAATACAGAAGCACCATAGTTGTGAGTCCATTGAAAATCAACCCAATTAGTGTAATGGCATTTGGAGACAAAGAATATGGCACAAACTCACCCATCAGCTTCCAAAATGGCTGCAAAAAAGGTTCTAAAAAGGACTGGCCGAAATGGTGACAACCCTGTTTATTAGTGATTATCTTTTGTAACTGCTCCGAATTTAGGATGTGCCCAGATGATAGATGTTGTTTGCGAGCGAGTTTTTCATTTTTTTGTTGGAGGTTCAGTGATTCTTTGGCAGAATGATGGCGGTGGTATTCTCTGGTTTCACCTCCTTTGTCAATTTGATGTCCAAAAGACTCATTGCTATTGCTGATGTATTGTCTGTTGAACACTGACGGTTTCATGGCCACTTTTAAAGTCTTTTTGTGTTAAATAATTGTGTCTTTGTCTTCTTTCTTTCGCTAAATAAATAATTTAGTTCCTTTTTATTTTACTTTATTTAAAACTTAAAAAGAAAAAGAGAAAAACTGAAAAACGAAACTACAAAAAACTAGTTTCAATTTGAGTTTAATTTACAAAACTTTAAGTTCAATTCAAATAAAATAAAATCAAACCTAAAAAGTCGGCCAAAGTGCTAATTAGTAAATTAGTGAAATTAGTTAATTAAATTAGGGAATAAGTTACTTGAAAATTTTGCGATAAAAAACACCCTACATCAAGAAAAGTAAACCTCAATTCAAAAAATCTTTCTCCATTGACAAACAAACAAAATTAAATTATCAGTAATTACTGTTCTGTTGTATATATTTTATTTTATTTTATCACGTTTAACAATTACAGTTCTGCTATTTAGCTTTATTATAATATTATATTACGAAAAAATCATTATATCGTCCTACCAACTCCGTAATTAGTCTGCTTGATCAAACAAATAAATGTTAAAGTCCAAAGCATTGTAACTTATATATACATCCTGTACATAGACTGACTGACTGAATGATATATATTTACATGTATAATTATAATACAATACAACATGTTCAACTATCTTTCTCACTTTCTCTCTATATATAATAATGAAAATGAACGAATATTATTAACATTACACATTACAACTACTCTTTTAATTTGACGTTTCATGGTCAATAACTTATATGTTGGTTTCTTTAACAAAAATTGCAACGTGCCGTGCATGTAATGTTGTAAGAGAGAGAGAGAGAGAGAGAGAGAGAGAGAGAGAGAGAGAGAGAGAGAGAGAGAGAGAGAGAGAGAGAGAAAGAGAGGAGAGAGAGAGAGGAGAGAAAGAGAGCAGGAAGAGAGAGAGAGTCAGATTACGTATAATCATACGATCGAAAGAGATTAATAATAACGACGACGACGATGATTGGTATAAATCCCGCCTTTATAACATGCTCACAAGTGATTTCGTGTCATTTTTCATTAGTTTTTGCTCGCAAAAAGGCGCTAATAATAACAACATAAACAAGGACATCCAAAATTATAATTCACTTATCAGCAAAGTGTGAATGAATGAATGGTTGGGTTACTTAACAAAAGGTTGAGTGAATGAATGGATAAATGATTGAATAGATAAATGATTGCATAAATAAATGATTGAATAGATAAATGATTGAATAGATAAATGATTGAATAGATAAATGATTGAATAGATAAATGATTGAATAGATAAATGATTGAATAGATAAATGATTGAATAGATAAATGATTGAATAGATAAATGATTGAATAGATAAATGATTGAATAGATAAATGATTGAAAGAGTGAACGAATAAAGGAATATGCTAACAGATTAGCTTATATAAATTAGATTAAGCAATGTTTATAAGCCTAATGAGACAAGAGGTAAGTATAGTATTAGTTACATACAGTACATACATAGACGTAGATCGCTTTGTTCAATGTTATTTACGATGTTGTTTATTTGACCAAAGTCATATTATTATTTTATTATTGTTGTTGCTATTATTGTCATTATTACTCTAAATTGCATATGACCTTTCTATTACAAAAACAAAAAATTATTTTTGGACAGCACGAAGAAATGTTTACTTAAATTAGCCAGCCAATAAGAAACGACAGGCACGCACACACACACACACGCACAGATCTGTCTTTCTCTTTAATGATGTATCAGTGTGGGTTAACTGAAGTAATCAGAAAATAAGTTGCAGCGTTTGCAATTCAACTGGCAGCCACAAAAGTTTGAGCAAAATTACATGTAAGAGACCTGGCGCGACGATAAACGTTTAAATGTTTACATCGCAACCACTCCTTAACTTCCATAATCAGCAGCTCTACGGGAGCCACGAAGGATGGAAGGAAATGAATGCAAATTCTACTGAGACTTTTAAACAACTGAAAATGTAATTGAATGATTCGAATGCGGTGCGCGTCATTTATTTGAAGCATGTATGGACGCGCAGTTAAGTAACACCACTGTTCAACGTTATGTGATTCGTAAATGGAAACTTACTATAATAAAAAAATCAATCATATATCTAATTCAATCTTGAGAACAGACGAAATAAAGCTTACGACGATCAAATAATGGAAAACAACTCAAATAATTATCAATCAAGCGAGCGATTTTTCCCCCATTGTCAACCTTCTGATACAAAGTAAGAGTGAGGAAGCCACGGTCTGCTCTCATCATCAATAGTAAACTAAATAAAGAAAAGAACATAAATAAGAACAAGGAAAAAAATATTAACAAAATTATAAATTAAAACGAAGAACGAAAATTAATTTTCTTTGGAATCCTTGTCCAGCGAACTATCAAGTTTTTCAAATTCTTTATTGCTTAGTTCGTCTTTCTCATCTTCAACCTGAGTGAAGGAAGGAAAAAAATAATGAATAGCTGAAAGAATGAATAAATGAGCGAATGAATAAACGAATGAACAAATTAAAAAACGAGCAAATTAAAAAACGAGCAAATTAAAAAACGAGCAAATTAATTAATTGCAATACGAACGCACCTGGACAACTCCCAAAACTTCCGGTACATAGAACTGTAACATGTTCTGGACCCCTCTCTTCAACGTGACCTCTGAACTCGGGCAGGTTGTACATGACCCTTGCAATTTCACTTTCACTATGCCCTCTTCGAAACCCTGGAAGAATGAATGAACGAATGGAGAATTGAACAAATGAATGAATGAACCAACAAACCAGCCAACCTCAACTAACCACATAAACAATATCTCCACCATCTTCTTGCACTGTGGGTCTTATCTTAGACTCAATCAACTCCTTAATCATCTCAATCACTTCATCTTCGTTCTCTTCGTCGACATCACGTGATGACGTTGACGATGGTGACGCTGGTGTTGACGTCACTTTTTCTGTATAAAACAAAAGATATTAAATAAATTAAACAGAAAGTGCAACAAAAACATCAACAACAACATCAACTCACTAGAAATAGCAATGTTAACGTGTTTGTTGATGCTAAAATACTCCATCAGTAATGATCTCACTTCTGAATCAATATTGGCCCAGCTAACATCATCTGACTATTGTTATAATAACTATAATAATAATAATAAAAATAATAATAATAATGAACAAACTTTTGAAATTGTGATGAAATCTCTGCCAATGTAGACACCTGAAACTCCATTTATTTGATGTAACTGGCTGGGTATTTTTCGTTTATTATTAAGATTATTATTTATAACTATTTATAGTGCTTATTATTCACGATATTATAACAATGATAATAATTATAAATATCAACAATAATGACACTAACACTAAAAAAACAACAACTAAAAACCTAGCAAGGCTGCAATCAAAAGTTGACTTGGGTGTTGGATAGTCCCGAGGTTGTACTCCGTCCTGAAGGATGGCCCTCTGGGGAAGAAATTTTAAACTGTTGGGATTCGGGGTCTCTTGGACTTCTATAAATAGACTTCTTTTATCTTTACAAAGGCAGTTGTATTTATAATAATGTGAAAAATAGTAAAAAATAATGATGATCGCTATAGCAACAGCAATGATAATAATAGTATTAATGATGATAATGAAGATGATGATACAAACAAACATACATTGGAATGAAGGATTAAATATTCTTTTGTTGTGCTTGCAGAATACAGAAGTTTTTTTAAAAATGATATTGTTATTATTATTATGGTTATTATTATTATTTTTGTTGATGTTATTAGGACCAAATGTAATAATACTGTGGTAAAATCTTTTGGTAAATGTTCTATTTTTAGGCAGAGGATGTGGTGTTCTGAAAAATTATGATTAAACAACTTAGTAAATAAATAAATCAATTCAATAAATTTTATTAAATCATTCATCGTTAGATATCGCGGACAGATATTGCAGCAGTGATAGAATACCATGAAATATTTTTTTTAATAAAATGCTACGCAGAAGAAAGTATGATGCATTTACTATCGCCAATTTACGTAAATTTTACAATAAATTTAAATGAAAGTTTAAAAATACTCCCAAATCAACCTTAATAACAAGAACTTTGATTGATTGGTGACGATTTGTGTAATAAAACTCTTCGGAAACATGTTTGTGTGTGGGTCGGGCTATTTGGCTTACTTGGTTTATTGGCTTACTAACGAAACTGCATGAATTGAATTTCATTTACATATTTAAAATTTTATTAAATCATTATTCAAAGTTTTATAAAAAATGGCAAAAATATTATTAATTAATAAATGACCTGAGCTTGAAAAAGTATAATTAATCAAAACTGACTTTAATAATAGTTTTTTTTATTACTGCCAAGCAGATGTCCCTTTAAAATTTAAAAAAGTTTGTCTGTACATTGAACTAATCTAAAAAATTTTATATTCATAAACAGTTGAGATTTTTTAATTTTTAAACAAATTGTCATCAACAATATAGTTGCATTTCTTGAAACAGTAAATTTTTAATTTGTATATACGTTATTTAAGTTTGCGATTGCTAAAATAAAAGTTTAGACGAAAATTTTTCAAAATGTCGTCTACCGCCGGTTCGGCATTGCTGAAGCCATTCGTTCACTGGGGACAAAATAAGCAGTTTGTGTTCGTTAGAGTTGAAATCGCTGAGATCGAAGATGCAAGTTTTTTCCCTTTAAATTGTTAAATTGTGTTTTTGCGTATTTAGATGAAGTCGGCCACCTGCATCGTTTTTTAATTAATTGATAAATTAAATAATAATTAATTGATTATGATCAATTAATAAATTAATTATAAATAATTTTATTAGAGCCCAACAATAGAAATTTTAGAAGAAAAATTAAATTTCAAGGCTTATGGACTTGGAGTTACTGGGATGAATTTTTATGGGTTTTCATTGGATCTCTACCATAACATTAATATTCTGGTTGTTACTATTTCTCTTTTTTTCTAATTTTTCAAAAACAATTTATTGATGATGACATTATTAATTATATTTACTCAATTATATAAAAAATATTGTTCCGCCGTTAAAAAAATATTTTCCTAGAAAAGCAAGTACAAGATAACAGCCAGGGGTGTGGAGATTGAATTAAAAAAAGTTGGAGGTGATGATGAAAATGGCGCCTGTGAAAAATGGCCCCGCCTCACTCACACCCCTAAAAAACTTTTCTGGTTGAAAACTGACTTTGACAGATTTGCATTTGACTCTTCAGATGAGAGTTCCGAGAATGAAGCTAATAGTGGGAATGGCTTTAATGAGTTTGGAGATGGTTATTATAAAGTAGGGATGTGCCTGTTTTTGTTGTTAATATTGTTATATTTAATAATAATTATCATAGTATTATTATTATTGTTAATTATGACAGAATGCAAACAAAGAAATGGTTGATAGATTTCACAGGCAGTTCAAAGAGGCTGATTCAGAAACATCATCATTTGATAGTAAGATGATGATGATGGTGATGATGATAATTATGATAATGTTAATAATTGTGATGATGGTGATTTTGATGATGATTTTTATTGCCGGTCTGAACATTTACTGCTTTGTAATAGTAATCTGATTGGTTATCAAAATATTACCCCCACAAGTCAGCCATTCAGAAAATGTGCACAATACTTTACATATTAAATAAGCATTTTGATTGGCTAATTTAAATTATTAACTCCAACCACCAACCAATCAGCTCGCAAACATTTGAAGACCATTTATCTGATGCTCTATAACCTCTTCCAATGGATTGGTTACGTTTATATCTTCTCCATGCTATTGGTCAAACTCTATTTGGAAGGGCCAGGTTTGTTGTTGTTTGTTTGTTTGTTTGTGTGTTGTTGTTGTTGTGGTTATGGGAGATGGTTGTTGTTGCCTCGAAGCAAAACATCAACAGCATAGATAAAATAATTTTTGTTTGACAGAAAGCAGGAAGGCAGCATTTAAAACATTCGGTCCGCAGATGATGGTCTGCCAGTCAATAGCCGTCTTAGAAATTTTTCACTCTTTGCTTAGATGGGTTAAAAGTTCTTTGGTGACCACGTCACTTCAGGTTATGATGATGATGATGATGTTTTGTGGATAATGATGATGATGATGGCGGTGACCATGATAGTGATGATGTACATTTGGATGAGGATGTTATTAAGGATGATTTCAATGATGATGATGATGATGGTGATGATGAATATTATTTTAATTATAATAGTTATATTTATAATATAATTTCAATTCCAAAAAAAGGTTTTAGGTCGTGGTTTTGTACTCTTCGTCGTCATCCTCCCAGAGTCGAAGCTGCACGAGCGAGATGTCGTCTGGTGCCTATTTTTAACCTGGTCTGCCGTCGAGATTGTGAGGTCTCTGATGATAATGATGTCTATTTTTGTTATTATTATTATTATTATCATCATCATTATTATCATTATTATTATCATCATCATAATTATTAGTGGTTTTATTATTACTGTAAGTACCATAATTTTTTTATACGACACAAGACATAATTTAAGTTTTTTCAATTGACTTGCTACGCATTCAAACCCAGGCACAGTTAAACGCGTACACACACGCGCGCACGTACGCACAAACATACACAACAACACGCGTAGGTATCCATACTACATGCTGACTATCTTGAAGAGAGAGGTTGGACTGATAACGTGGCTTAGGTACACTGTGTGGATTCCTTTATACCCTCTGGGCTTTATTTTTGAAGGTTAGTTGATTGTGGTTGGCTGGTTGATTTGTTGATTGGTTGTGATTGGTTGGTCGATTTGTTGATTAGTTGTAATTGGTTGGTCGATTTGTTGATTGATTGTGATTGGCTGGTTGATTGATTGATAGGCTACCATTACCGTAATCACCACCAGGGACAGTAATGTTGATCTCACTTCCATTGTTTGAGGAATCGAAGAAATTCACATATCCCCTCCCGAATCCCCTCAACATCTCTTTCTACTTCACTATCTTCCTACAGCTGTACATGTTGCTTATGCTTCCTGGTCAGTTTGCTAGACGGTTCATTCATTTATTTGTTCGTTCATTCACTCATTCGTTCGTTTGTTTTATTTCATACATTCCTTCGTTCGTTCATTCGTTCGTTCGTTTTATTATTCATTCACTAATTTATTCATTGACTTTCATGATTATAAATGTAATACCTAACCGACAAATCACAAATACACACACAACACACACGCACATACAAACACACACACACACACACACACACACACACACACACACACATACATACATACATACATACATAATCACACGTACATACCTATACATACAGGTTCATATTTCTTGATGCAAAGAATGTATGAACAAAGAAAGAAGAAACTGAACGAAAATAGCGATAATAAGAAGACATCTATCGGAAAAAAAACTAAATAATGATGATGATTGTGGTGGTGATGATGATGATGATGATGATGATGATGATGATGATGATGATGATGATGTACGTACGTATTGTTTTGTTATTAATCTTACTGTTGTGTCAATATTTCTTCCTGTTTAAATTGCTCTGGGTGTATTATTTATGACATTTATTATTAATATTATTAACAATAATAATTCATAATATTTTTAATAATTCATAATAATAATAATTTTAGCCATAAATTTTTAATTTTTTGAAATTGAAACTGGAACGTTCAAACGAAGTTCAGTCATAAGGTGTGCAAAGAACAAAAGGAGCAAAAAATCAATCGAATATTACAATTTAAAAGAATCCAGTCATTTATGCATTCATTCATTCATTCATTCATTCATTCATTCATTCATTCATTCATTCATTCATCATCTAACGCTTTGGTAGTTGCTGAATATCGCGAAGTTGCTTCTGCTGTTGCAAGAAGAGCAGTTTCAATTGCTGTAGTTGGTCGCGATGTAGCTGTTGCAGCTGCTGTTGCGGCTGCTTTTGGTTATACTGCTGTGGATAATGTGTTTTTCTTTATAACCTCTTGTACCGTATATACATACATGCACACAAAGACACACACAAACTTCGAGCTGAACAAGCATTAACGAAAATGTTTTCAATAGTTTATTTCAATAGTTTATTTATTCATTTATTCGTTCGTTCGTTTGTTTGTTCGTTTGTTCATTCATTCATTCACCCATTCATTCATTCATTCATACTACTTCTCCATCACTTGCGAGGTTCAGAGCGGATTTCAAGACCCATCTGTTTTCAAAATTAATTGAGGAGCGCTGTTGAACATCGCGGAAATAGCGCTTTATAAGCTAATTGATTGATTGATTGATTCATTCATTCATTCGTTCATTCATTCATTCATTCATTATAATTTACCGAACTGTGAACATACCTCAAGATGTACTTTCTGAACAACTTTGGGGAACAAAAAAATTTTATTAAAAAGTTGCTATTATTATTTTTTTATGACACAATCGAATGAATGAATGAACGAATGAGTGAATGAATGAATTAATGTATGTACGCAAATATAAAAGTGTCCACACACACACACACACACACACACACACACACACACACACACACACACACACACACACACACACACACACACTAGTAGCAGTACTAATATAAACAATAACAATAATAATAATAACGTTGTTTATTGGTCGAATTTAAAATAGCAAAATGTGACGTCATTTTGTCAAGTAGATTTGATCGCGTTTTTATAGTTTCACCAATTCAACACGCGCATATGCACATCTATAATTAAATATTTTCTTTCATAAATTAAAATAATACAACGTATATGTTTATTTAAGAATAGATTCGTATCAAAATTTGTACAAATTTATGACGTAACAGAAACCAAAAAGCGCATTTTTATATTATTGATAATTAAAAAAATAAATAACAAATTAAATTAATTGCTATTATTAATTAAAAATTTTAAAAAATGAGTTTTATTTTAAGTATTATGAAATTAATTATTTTTTAATTAAAAGTAACTTTTAGTTCCTTTTAAAATTTAAACGTTCTCTCCATGTAAAGCTTCACTTACGTTGCGTTGTTAATAATTGCGATAGCTATTTTCGTACACAAAGGTATTATTTTGACGATTAGGGATTAGTGAAAAATAGTTTTTATCATAAAAACAAAAACTAAATTTTAAAATGTTTCAAAATGATATTTTCGATTTTGTTTTCAGTGAGTCTTTACTTTACTTTCTAATTTTTTTGTTAACGTCTGTTATACATGTCAACAGTAAAGTAAAGTAAAGTAAGCAAAGTAATAAATCTTACTTAATCTTCTTCTTAATCCTTAACAAACTTGATGTTTTTCCTTTTTGTCACTTTTCTGAAATTTGATTAATTGATTATAATATTAATTAATTTTTAAAAAATTTCTTTGAAATCAAAGTTAACTTTTTGATTTTAAAACTTAAAATATGATCAGTATATGATGAATGATGTACACATATACCAGTTTTAAGTAGATACTCTAAACTAAAAACTTAACCAGAATGCTTAAAAGTCAAAAATAAAACTACAATAATTTGCTTTCAGATTTCAGTTTTAAAATAGTTCAATTTTTACATATTTTACTTTTAAAACCTTAATTCATTTGTAGATAGATCAAATTCATTGAAAGTTGTCTTGCAGAACAGATGACTAACACAAGCAAACATGTTATCTAGTGTACATATACACCATAGTTCAGTGTCGAAAAAATAAATTAGACAGTACTTTAGCAAGACAAAAAAATCAGGTATTCCACTTCTTATCAAGTATTTACCATCCATATCAAAAAATTATTGACACATCACTGAGACATTTGGTAAATTTTATTGAAACGGGACAAACATGGCCACAAGTAGCAAGACAACAACATCTACTACTAATACTAGCTGCAGCAATCCAATTATCATTGGCACCACAACACCATCATCATCATCATCTTCAACAGTATCATTATCATCGCTGGTGTCAACATCATATGCATCTCTGAAAAAAAATGACGACTTGGATGATATAGATTACTACTATCTCACAGATACAATTAAAACGGCAACAAATTCAAATGCATCATCGGCCCCTAAAGACAATAAATACAGCAAGTTAAGTGGTACTTCTAGATATTTAACTCAACCAACTGATCCATTGAGAATGAAGAGTGAGAATGAAGGAAAAATTGAAGATGATAACGACGTTGCTAGTGAAGCTAGTCGTCTGCCTCAGTCCATGTCCTACACAAGCAATTTGAAATCCATGACAAATATTGATAGTGGGAGCAAATTCGGGAGTGCAAAGCATTTTGAGAGCAGCAATAGGGATGTACCGAGTTACGGTTCGACAACTTTCAATTCAGTTACCAGACGCTCCGTTTCGAAACCACCGCCAACTGCACTTGAGTCTGCAAAAAATCAACAATCTTCGTTATTAGCGGCTGCCCGCTCTGCACCTCCTTCCGAACTCGCGTCGCCTGTTATTTCGAGAGTCCCAAGAAAAAGTTCTGCCAAAGATCATGAAAAAGATGCAAAACAGGCGCCACTTGATGCGGATGTGAGTAAAACCGCTACGAACGTCCCTAATGTAAGTTCGGGGAGCTCAGCGAAGGAAGATATGTTTTCAATATTTTCCGGCTTGAAAGATCGTCTCGCTAGAGTATCGGCGGAGTCGAGAGAGATTCTCGATCGAAGAGTTTTCAAATCCGGATCAATGGACGGACAGAAGCTGGTTGCATCCGTGTTAGTGGATAGTGCGAGCGAAGGGGAGAAATTGAATGAATGCAACGAATGTGAAGTCGGCCCCGGGGGGGTTGACGGGCAGTTGGTGGTGAAAGATGCGGATGATGGGTGCCCTGAAAATGGAGAGAGAGATGACGGTGAGGGGAAGGTAAAAACTTCAAAAATGTCAAAGAAAAATAGTAGAGAAGGTGAAAATAATGAGGGTAGCTCTAGAAATGATGACGATGGTGATGACAACGATGATGACGTAGGTACTGACGGAAAAAGCAAGGAAGCAACAACAACATCTACTGCAACAACATCTTCATCGGCTAATAAGTCGTCTTTGTCAACAACGACATCAATGAAAATGAAGCAAGCAAAAGAAACAGAAATGAAGGTGTTCAAAAGTTCAGCAGCATCTTTAACACAATCTTTGGGAAATGACGATCAAAGATTGAAATCTCACACACAGAAAATTCGCGAAAGCAGCTCTAACAACAATTCATTCGATATAAGTCGTCTCATGAAACTTGTTCAAGACTCTGACTATCCTTCAAAAAAATGCACGTTCTCGAGAAAGTGGAGCGGCGACGACAGCAGCCACAACATTGAGGACGACGACGATGAAGTTGGCGCCGCATCATCTGCGAGCGATCTAATAACACCAGAGGCCGCTGTTGAGGCTTTCAATCTGACGCATCTGCACAACTCTACAACGGCACCCGACCTCAAATCGAAACGATTCACATCTCAGCTCTTCAAAAAGTCCGACACTCAGAAAAAAAACATCAGTAAAAGTTTGGCAGAGTCCGATTCCGCCGGAGGGATTAGTAAGTATGACAGTTTGGTGAATTCTGACGTGACGTTCAGCGGCCAGAGGATGATGAATCCATTTGCAGGGGACAGGAAGGAAAGCAGCAGCAGCAGCAGTTCGAAGCCATCTTCATCAATCTCACTGACGTTTTCCTCTCTCCTCTCCAGGCAGAAATCATTACCTAAGTTAACGTACGGCGGGTCTGCCGGAAGTGCCGTCGATCCCGCAGCCAATCAGCAGATGGTTGATTTGCAAGATGAAAGTTTAAAAGCGAATTTAAATAAGAGGTCAGATAGCAAGAATAATTTGCATAATTTGGACAGCGATCTTGAATATTTCAACCTGCACGACAATAAGTTGGATGGCGCGGACGAGGACGACCCCAACAGGCCATTGGACGTCAGGGACGCGAACGACTGCAACAGCTACCTGGACGAGGACCTCGCCAACACGTCAAACAACAACAAAACGACGCCAGCGGATGAAAGTGAGCGCAGTTCACCTGCGGCAAAATCTTCTAAGAAAGTTAGACAGGTCACCTTCACGAGTTCGGTTTTGAAATTTCAAAAATTCAGAAGTAATTTACTGACGAAAATTCTCTTCTACGTTTTACTGGTCATGACTCTGTTGATTGTGCCACTATCTCCCTATATTTTTGGCTTTCTTGTTGGTGTCCTGGGTACGATTGTCTTCGGTTGGATCTTTACTGTCTTGGATGCTGTCAACAGTCTGTTCTTCCATGAGTTAGATTTTGTGTGTCTGTCTGTGTGTTTGTCTGTTTGTTTGTGCACGTATGTGTTTGTTTCGTTCTTCTATTCATTTGTCTTTCTATCCAATCATTTTTTCATTCGTTCATGCATGTGTTCATTCATTCGTTCGTTCGTTCGTTTGTTCATTCACGCAGAGAGGATCGTTACAGAGAGGCACTGAACATATGTGAAGATAGAGAGATCTATTACAGGTTCGGCGATCAGTGGACTCCTGACATCAAGCTTTCCAAAAACTCTGATGACTGTTTCAAAGTTAGTACTAATAAGAGAAGGAGAAAGAGAGAAGATCTATTCATTCATTCATTCATTCGTTCGTTTATTCATTCGTTTGTTCGTTCGTTCGGTCGTTCGTTCATTCATTCATTCATCTATCTAGCTACCTATCAACATTTTTATTAAACCGTCCAATGCACATACTAACTAAACTCGTGATCAAACAAAGTCTTCCCTCACTTATTTACAACAAAAATTATTATCATTCGTCATAATAATAACAAATTATCATCATTATTGTTATTTATTATTATTATTATTATTTATTATTATTTCTGTTGTTGTTGTTGTTCGATCTTTAGTCTATCTATCTATCTTATCTGGTTTATGAACTTCACTATTGCGATGTTCATAATTTTTGTCATCTGCTTGAAAATTGTGATGATGATGATGATGATAATAACAATAATTATAATAAAAACAACAACAACAATAATAATAATAATGATGATGATAATGATGTTGATGATGACGACGATGATGTAGATTTTGTATTTATCGGGCTTTCGTCAGTATTTACCTTTCATTTGCAGCTCAGTGTTATTGATCAATTTCATTTGATAATCTAGCTAGTTCATTCCTTCATTCAATCAGTTTGTTTAAACATTCATTGTTTTCATTCATTCGTTCGTTCGTTCGTTCGTTCGTTCGTCGTTCGTTCGTTCGTCGTTCGTTCGTTCGTTCGTTCGTTCGTTCGTCCGTCCGTTCGTTCATTCATACATTCATCCATTCATTTATTCGTTCTCCCATCAAACATCGATCAGGGCTGGCTAAACGAGCTGCCGACTTCAGCATCGGCAGTGGCGTCGACAGCTGCCTCATCAGCGATTCTAGCGGCTGCGCCACCACCGCAACAAATACAACAACAATTTGCATCGTCACGTCGTAACTCAGTAATCTCCATCGACGACACGGACGTCAGTGATCTAAGGAAAGAAACTACAACTGCAACTACAACAACAGCAGCAGCAGCAACAACAACAACATCAACAAAGATGATAACATTTTCATCATCAACGACTCCACCATCACCACCGCTAACCACAACAACGACAACAGTATTGCCAGTTGCCTACAGTCCAGAAACTTACCACATCAGTTCGACGGTTTCTGTTTTTGCGACGCTAGAAGGTTCTAATTTGCGCCTTCAAACTCCGAAGCAAGGAATTCCAAAGAGGGCCTTGTGGAGTGATGATGCCTATGCCAACGTCACCTTTGTCAGGCAGAGACATTTCAACCTTCTCAATAGCAAGGTTTATTTTCTTTTTTGTCTGTGTGTATGTGTGTTTGTGCGTGTGCGTGGTGCCAGCTATCAACCCACCAATCACAATCAACCCAGGTAATTCTCCTACCAATAAACATCGTCTCAAAGAGAATGTGGAGTAAGAAGTATCCAATAGCCATTGAGTTAGCTTCGCAGCAACAACAGCAATCTCAAGGTAGTGCAGCTGCTAGCAACGTTACTGCCAATAGCGTAGCTGCTGCAACTAACTCAGCTGCTACCAGCTCTTTTGTCGCAGCCGGAAAGAAGACTAATTTTACTGCAGCTTCTCAACTGATTAGACGAAATGTGAGCGATTATGAAAACAATGATGATGAAGATGAGTGAGACAATAATTTTATAATAATTTTTTTATAAATATGGTTATAATTATGATAATAATAATAATAATAATAATAATAATAATAATAATAATAATAATAATAAACCAACCACTCAGCGCAAGCCAGACAAAAAGTCAACAACAGCAGCAACCACACTTACTGCTACTACTGCTACCGCTACTACTGCAACAGCAAATACTAGCATCGCAAACACTAATGCTGACACTGAAATGATAGTTATGGCTAGCTCCTCACAGAAACCTGCGATTGGCCAATCAGCGGCTTTGTCTCAGTCGGTTGTCTTGCCTTCCAACCAATCAAAAGAGAACATGAAAAAAGTCATCTACTTATTTGCTAGGACCAGCAGAGACAAGGTTTATAATTGGCTGGATTGAAGATTGAAAGAACGAATGATTGATTGAATGAATGAATAGAATGAACAACTGGTTGGTAGGAGAATAAATCTTTCAATTATAAAAATATAACCAACAAAATGAAAAAAACTGTTCTCAAAATTTTACTTTTCTTACCTTCATCCATATCAATCCTTTCTCTCTCTCTCTCTCTCTCACTCACTCTCTCTCTCTCTCTCTCTCTCTCTCTCTCTCTCTCTCTCTCTCTCTCTCTCTCTCTCTCTCTCTCTT